TTGGGGAGTTGTGGAGGTTTTTAAGAAAAGATTGGACGGCCATTTGTCTGAAATGGCATAAGGACCCCTGCCTTGGGCAGATGATTGGACTAGAAGACCTCCAAGGTCCCTTCCAGCTCTTTAATTCTTATCAAGAAAACTGAGCTGGTGTACCCTTGTCAACACCAGAAGCAGAAACAAGGAATAAAATCCCCCACTCGTTAAGGAAAATACGAAGTATTTGTCAGTTCTAAAGATAACTATGGTTTTCCGTTCTTGGAATAAATACTATCTTTAATATTCTCAGGGATCGTTATAGATACCATGCCTGTCTGCTGAGAGCAAGATTTGATGAGCATAAGGATGAGAAAGACATGGTTAAAGCAACTAAGCTGTTGATGGCTGCTGAAGAAGAATTTTGGGAAAAGCAACATCCTCAGCCGTACATCTTTCCTGACTCTCCAGGTGGCACAAGCTATGAGAGATATGAGTGCTTTAAGGTCAGGAGGTGACATGGCCGGCGTTACAAATAATCAGTTCCTTGATAGGTTGCAGAATATTGGCCTTCTGAACCCCAAGAGGTTTCGGGAACTTTTCATTAGTGAGTAGAAGGAGATTCCCCATCAAATGCAGCATTATCGTCTAGTTCTGAGGAAGAATCCATGAATGAAAGCCGCAGGGAAGCCGTCCAGGTCTCACATTAATCAGTGACCAGCATCAGTGACCAGCCTCTATTTGCCTTGGCAAGACCTTAAAGACACAGGAGAAAGCTCGGGGGCAGGGCATGCTTTGCTTGGAGGAACACTTCCACTTGACCTCCAGTTTGAAGAGACTTAATAGCAGGGGATGTGAGGGAACAGAAGGTTCTAGAACAGGGGTGTCAAACTTGACTTCATTGAGGGCTGCATCAGGGATGTGTTTGACTGTGCGGGGGGGCAGGGGGATGTGGCCAGGGGGGGCGTGGCTAGCTCGACGTCTCGTGTTGGGATGCCTGTGGTGGCCCAAGTGCTCTGACAGCTAAAACGGGCTCCTGAGTGCCGTTTTTGGCTGCAACAGCCTCCTGTAACCCTCTCCCAGCGAAAACAGAGCTCCGTGGGCCTTTGCTGTTTCCAAGGCAGCCTTGCGGACCAGATCTAAGCCTGATCCGGCCCGCGGGCCTTGAGTTTGACACCCCTCCTCTGGAAAGTTGTTGTTACAGTCCTGGAGAAGTTCACAGGACAGTTTGTGTATTCAGCAATGTTTGTAACTAGTGCTTTAGACATCCAGAGGCAGCAGTTTGAGCCACACATAGTGATCTGAAGATAGTACGCTCTCCACATGGCTGGATGGTGTTTTATGCACTGAATGGTTGCTAGGGAAGGATCTAATTATTTGAGGCATTCGCTTTCTGAGGCTTGCCAATCATCCCGCCATTAAAATGTGCCTTCTACCATTCCTTGATCCCATCCACACTTTTTGGGAGGCTAAAAGAGCCACTACATTCCTGTAGCAGCACCCAACTTTTTGAAACAGCAACCTTCCTGTGAGATCAGGCTGGATCAACCCCCATGGTTGGTTTCTCAGGAAATTTTGAAGATAAAACTGTTCTGAGACTCCTCATAGGTTGTTTCTACCTTATCTTTATTTTTGGTGGTTTTACTATTGCATTATTATATTGCCATTGGGTTTTTTCCCCACCAAACCATAGATATGCCTGTGTGAGCCTCCAGTTTTTTTGTTTGACACACACATCGCTCTTTATATATATCAAATGCCCTGATTCTGCCTTACCAAGATAATCCAGTAATTTTCTGGAATTAAGTCTTCCAATGCAGGAAATAGTATCTTTGGAATCTCATCATTTTGATTTTAAACAGTGTTTCCCAACGTCAGTAACTTTAAGATGTATGGACTTCAATCCCCAGAATTCTTCAGCTAGCATATTGGCCGAAAAGTTCTGGGAGTTGAAGTCCACACATTTTAAAAGTTGCTGAGGTTGAGAAACATTGGTTTAAACAGATCAACAACCACAATCTAGCTATTATTAGATGGAGAAGATACAAAATAAATTACATGAAAGAACAAGAAGAAGACTGTTATCCCTTTGAAGACGCAGTGAATAACCTTTTGTTTATGCTTCCATCCTGTAGTCACCTGAATGGATCCTAGAAATGTGGCACCCATCAGAGAAAGCAATGTACCCAGATTACTTTGCTAAGAGAGAACAATGGAAGAAGCTGCGCCTGGAAAGTTGGGACAAGGAGGTTGGTTATCAGACAGACTATATTTTACGACTGCTTTTCCATGAAATAATTTTGAAGCAAGTCACAAATCCGTGGGGTGATACTTTGGGATATGGGTCTTAAAATGTGGCCTCATGGCTTGTCACCTTCTGTTTAGCGCCCCCCGCTTCCTGAGCTTGTGAGGGAGCCAGAAGCCTTGACTCTTTTTTCAGAGTGGACAGCTAAGGAGTGAAATGGGTACCTGAGAGGAGAAAAGCAAAGCACTTTTTGCCTCTTAAAAGCCTCACCAGAATGGTTGTTTCCCAAAGGAGCTTAATATTCGGCATGCTATCAACTTCTCTTTCTTTCTTTCTTTTTCTTTTTCTTTTTCTTTTTCTTTTTCTTTCTTTCCTTCCTTCCTTCCTTCCTTCCTTCCTTTTCTTTTTTCTTTCTTTTTCTTTCTTTCTCTTTCTCTCTCTCCTTCCTTCCTTCCTTTTCCTTTCTCTCCCTCCCTTCCTTCCTTCCTTCCTTCTTCCCTCCCTCCCTCCCTCCTGTTTGTATGTCTCTTTCTCCTCAAGAGAACCAGGCTTTTCTGAGGCTCCTATAGCCACAGAAGCTCAGGAAAATAATGTACTTGCATGATGATAATCATACAATGACATACTTTGGTTTCTTAACTGAAGCACAATTTTTTGCTGGTATCACATGGCTGCTTTGGAAGTTTAGAACACGATGTGGCCTTTTTGAGAAAGGGCCAACATGTTTTAATGCTCATTATCTATTCTGAGGGATGTTTTTGCCCATAGCACTGAAGCACGTGAGATCCCTAAAATCCCAAAGATACATCGAAGTGAACTTGATCAGTTGAGCTGGTTTAGCGTTAGATGCATTCATTCCGCCTCTGTCCATTTGGAGCCAATTCTCCCAACTTAGAACAGCTCTTATTCTTTTCTGTTCGTCCCTGAATCTCCAAAGAGGCTTTTAAATGGATGGAGTGTGGGGGGGCGGGGGCGGGGCACACTTTTTATAGAAAATATCACTATTTTTTTTCTAGATCTGTTGCTGGCTGAAATTGGAAATGAACTTTTAATCAGAACACTCAAAACGTCTTAAAACAGCCCATTTCCAGATTATAGGGACACTTACTGTTGATGGTTTTTAAAAACTGGATTCAGGGTGCATTAAGTTTATGAATTGCCATAAAGGGCAGTATTAAAGGCTTTTCATGTTTGAAAGGGACGGTTGACGTTAAAAATACTTCCATTGAAGTCTCTTCTCCCCTCCCCTCTTGCGACTGCCTTACAAAACCACACACACACACACACCAAACAAATGAGAAAATCCTGTAGATGTGCTGCTGTAAGCTTCTTTTTATTACAGATAGTCCTCAATTTACAATCACAGTTGAGTCCCAAATTTTCTGCTGCTAAGCAAAACAATTGTCAAATGAGTTTTGCCCCATTTTATGACCTTTGTCATTGTTGTTAAGTGAATCCCTCACTGCAGTTGTTAAGTTAGTAACGCTTGGGTAGTTAATAACACTGGTTGTTCAGTGAATCTGGTTGATTTTTTTTGCTGGTCAGAAGGTTGCCAAAAAGGGAATCATGTGATCTTGGGACATTGCAACCGTCATAAAGCATAAGTCAGTTGCCAATTGTCTGATTTTTGATCATGTGACCATGGAGGTGCTGCATCGGTTGTGGGTGTGAAAAATGGTCGTGTCATTTTTTTTTTTACATGACGTTGTAACTTTGAACGGTCACTAGATGAACTGTGTGGTCGTAAGTTGAGGACTACCTGTAATGCGGATATGCTGCTTAAGACGTGTCCTAAATCAGGGGTCGCCAACCTTTTGGACTTCAGGGACCACCAAAGTCATAATTTTAAATCCCGCGGACCAGAGACCCTGGGAAAATCCCCCCAAAAGTCTGCAGGAAAATCCCCCACCCCATTTTCCTACCGATCGATCGTTCTTTATTTGGGATCACAGGATGCCATCTCCAGCTCCGTTCTCAGGGGGTGAGAGAGACTTTTGGCTTCATTCAAGGAAAGCAGCAGCAGCAGCAGCAGTCTTTCTTTCTCTCCTTCAAACTCTGCCAGAAATGAGTCTTTGTGAGACTTGTCATGTCGGCACAGCCTCTTGGAGCAGGAGGCCTTGCAGGGTCCCAAAGACTCGTTTCTGGCGGAGTTTGGGGGAGAGAAAGAGAGACTTGCTGCTTTCCTTGCATGCAGCCAAAAGCAGAAGAAAGAAGCGGAAAGAAGCAGCCCGGTGGCCAGGCCAGGCTTGTGGAGTGAGTGGGCAAGTTCCCCCCCTCTGCCCTTTCCCCTCCTTCCCTCATTACCTCGTGTTGTTCACAATGCAAGTGACGCAAGCCTTGTGTTTCTGCGGCCCATGTGGGCAGTGCATCCTTGTGTCCTCGTGCAGCCTGGATTAATTGCTTTGGGGGGTGGTTTGGAATGACATTTCTCTGCGGACCACCAAAATTTTCTCACGGACCACCAGTTGTCCCTGGCCCACTGGTTGGCGACCACTGTCGTAAATTAAGTTCTGGGGTGTGGGTTAACCCTGTTTCTCATTGACAGGTCCAGCAACTTCAGGAAGAAACCCCACCCGGAGGTCCCACTACAGAAGACTTACCTCCAGCTCGTAAAGAGGGACAGCTGCCTCCGCTCTGGTGGCATTTCGTAACTAAGCCTCGCAGATACCCGTTGTAAGAAGCTCCACTCTAAAAGTTCTGTCTAACCCCAGAGGTCTCCAAACTTGGCAATTTTTAAGACTTGTGGACTTCAACTCCCAGAATTTCTCAGCCAGTCCACAAGTCGTAAAAGTTATCAAGTTTGGGGACCCCGATCTAACCCCACAAAATGGTCTGTGAGCTTCCTGCAGCTGGTCTCTTTGCATTACTGTACTAGCAAACCCAATAAAAGCCTGATACAAACCGCCATGAACCTGCCTGCCTGGCCATTACTATATAGCAATCTCACTCGGACCAGCAAGATGTGCGGCACCTCTGGAAAAAAAAATCAAAGGATACTCCCACAATGTTGGTATAGAGCAGGGGTCGGCAACCTGCAGCTCTGGAGCCACATGTGGCTCTTTCATTCCTCTGCTGCAGCTCCGTCGCTCAAAATGTGTGTCACAACCGCCAATGGGTGGCACCCACTGGCATGATTCATTGAGCTTTTCGACCCGTCGATAGGCCAACCAAGGGTAAATCCAAGAAAAGAAAAGTTTCAGAAGAAAATGTGTAATTCAACTACAGATGCTAGTTTTGTGGCCACTTGGGAAATAAGTCCCGGGGAAAACTGCAATCTCATCGTAAATATGAACCACTTGCCAAGTGTCTTGAATGTCGATCATGTGACCATGGGGATGCTACAGTGAGTTGTCAAGCGTGAAAAATGGCCGCAAGTCACTTTTTTTTCAGTGTCGCTGCAATGTGGATACAAAGTGTAAGTTGAGGAGTGCCTCTGATCTGGCTATGAAAGCAAAGCCACTCATAGTTGGTATTGTTAGCTCAAAACTACAAGAGCCACTAAAACAAGGGTGTCAAACTCGAGGCCCACAAAGTGCTTAGATCTGGCCCGCAGGGCCACCCTGGAAACAGCGAAGGATTGGCACGCGGTGCCTCTGCCAGCAAAAACGGAGCTCAGGAGGCCCTCCATTTTTGGTGGCAGGAGGCCATCCATCCTGGCCGAAAACGGAGTTCATGAGCCCCTTTTTGCTGGCAGAGCGCTCTGGCCACCACAGGTGCCCCCAAAACAAGTGACTTCAAATACACCACCACCACCCCGAGGTCAAACACAATTCTGATGCGGCCCTCAATGATATCGAGTTTAACACCCCTACACTAAAACCCCTTGATAGTAAGAAGTTTTTAAAAGGGGGTGGGTGGGGAAACTGAGGCAACTTTCATTTGCTTCCTCAATCACTTTAATCAGGAAAACTAGCAAACTGAGGGATTGGAAATGAGATTCAGAAAGACGCCCTTTGCTACTTAAAAACGTCGTGGAATAAGCAAGGTTGGCTTGGTAGGTCTGGGTTACAAATTTAACTTCTATCAATTGCAGCCCATTCCCCTAAATTTATAGGGTGACAACTTCCCAAATCTGCAGACCATTTTGAAGCCACAACACGGGAGATTACCTGGAACATTGATACTTAAACAAGGGCACCAACCAGATGCCACACAAATCCTTTCTTGGCTTACAAAGGACGACACAGCCCAAAGCGGATTTTACCAGCAGGTCTTTTATTTGTAATATAGGCTTGAAGCATTCATTACAAGGTAGAAGGGAAGCACAGTTAACAGCTATTTTTTTTATTTTTAGCAGTTCGGAAGGAAAACACTTCAATGGGGAAAAGAGAGCTCAACTCTCGGTACAAACTAGCAAACTAAACCACGAGAACTTACCATTAGAAACATTTTACATTGTGACGCTGCTGTTACAATAGGCAAAGAACACCAACAAAAAAAAAAAAGATAAAAAGGAAAAGAAACCTCAAAAAACAAACCAACAGAACTATCCAAAGTGGTTTCTGCCACATGTTAATATTGAATTTTGGCAATATCGTTATTAATTTTTAACTGAGATTTAATTCTGGTGTTGAAAAGGAGGAGGCTACACTCTCAAATACAGCTTCATCCAAAATGTTTTCTTAAAACATGCTTTTTTCGGAAAATATCCCGCGTGAGCTTCACTGAAAGCAACGGGGCTGGGCATGCCTGAGCCCCTTAACAGAAACAGCTTTAAAAAATAAAAAGAGGAAAAAAGCTTAGAAAAATCAGCTTGTCAGCCTGCACCCTTTTTTTTGTTTGTTTGTTTGTTCGTTTGTCCATTTTTCTTCTCTCTTTCAAGTGGGTAAGAAAAACAAAATCTTGGAGCATCATTTGCAGAGAGCATCTGCTCCTTTTCAGGACAAGTGGGCTAGTTTGACAGCACTGCTTTTATTTTTATTTGTTTCCGAAGGAAGAAAAAAGCTTATTATTTTTTGGATCATGCCTTTTTTTTTTTTTTTGAACTTTTCGCTTCCGACGCCATAATGAAAAAGTGTTAAGCAACCACAGCTGTGTAAATGTATATAGAACACAGTGACTATAAACAGGTTTACGATACATCTCACATCCAATGCAGTTATGTAATTAAAGCATAAGAAGTAGTAGTTTACGTAGGCAAGATGGCAGCCAATACGAATCTCCCGAGTGTCCATGGCGGAGGAGACTGTGTGCGTGCACGCACTCACAACCCGGCTCCTTCCACGATGAGTGGGGCGCATCGCTGCGACTGCAAACACACCCCTCTGAAGTCAAGAATTCTGCTAGCATCGCCCATGTAGAAATAAGGCAGACGGTATCCAGTTAGACTGCAGAATGCTTTTTTTAAAAAACAAAACAAAACAGAAAACCACGAAACTGAAAAAGACCAGGAGGGAGGAGTGGTGCCTGAGTTATGCACATTTCTACTGACCCCATGAAACAGAAAATACCACGGCAATGCTCATGTTAAGAAAAGGAAAACCTTATTTATAAATGTATCAACAATGTTCCCCCTTCCCCAATAATTGTGGGGAGGGGAAGATTAAAAAGGAAACTGGTTGTGAATATCCCTCCCGCTATAATAAATAAAACCTAAGAGCATTCCCGTCCCTTCCCAGTCCCCAAATTTTGTACCCAAACTGCCCTTTTGGATAAACAATCCCCCCCGCCCCCTTAAAAGTAACATTTGCAGTTTTACTGGAGTTCCCAGTTAGTTGCCCATCCGTCTATGAGTTGTTGTGTCAAAAGTCCTGGGGAAGGTTTTTCCATTTATTTGCCTACCCAGCCTGCTGGGCGCAGCCACTAAAAGGTATAAAGTTATAATTAAGAGCTCCCTGGTTTTCTTTTAAATTTTTTGCTCTTTATTATTATTTTAACAACGTAGACACCCTTCTGCCTTCACAGTGTCTTGCTTTGTGTTGTGTTCTGTTTACTTCTTTCAAGGAACAACAAGGTGAAGAGAGGAATGCAAAGTTTAAGCCTGTTGCCAAGATGGTACAAAACTGATAACGAGGGTTTTACGGTGACTGGAAATGAAAGCATACAGAGGCAAGAAATCTTTTTTAACACAGTCCTTTTCACAGGGCCAACTTAGGAAAAAAAATACCTAGCAGGCAGTACCCAAGTCTTTGAAACACCTTACTTAAAATGAACACTGTGATTCATTATGGCTTATTTGGACGCATTTACAATGAAACTATCCCCCTAGGCTACATTTTTGTGCAAGAAATTAAGCCCCCCCACCTTCCTAATCCCTAAAAATTAACCAAATACAGCCGTTCTCTCTTTTCTGTCTTCCCATTATATATTGCTTTAATCAGCTTCCGTTTCCTGCTTTTGGGGCAGGAGAACGGCTCAGCTGTATTTCAGTGAAGGAGTTGTGTGTTCTTGCTAGGAACTTTGTACAGGGAAACGAACACCCGATCTGAGACTCCCACTATGACAGACAAGGTGCTCAATAAAACCATCCAAGAAGGAGAACTGCGTTATCACGGGACTCCTCCTTCCCAGCCCTTGCTAAAATTTAACTACTTAAACATTTCTTATAACTGTCCTTTTTGTGAATGAATACACTTTACAAAGAGTTATTAAAAGGTTAAATGGGATTTTGGCACCTTTGGGGGGGGTGGGGGAGGGGGAAAAAAAAGGAGGAACTGAGAATTTGAAAAATGTGCAGAGGAAAATATAATCAGCCAGCTTTAGGAAGAAAATCATCATCATCATCATCAATAGTCAAGGAAGATGTTCCTTTAAAGAATTTCACTTGGCCAATTCTAACCTCCCCTCCCCGTTTTAGAGACCGCTGCCAGCTGTCTCCACTAGAAAAAAAATCTTGATTGTACAATAATGGACCCAGACACAAAAGATGATATCATCAGGTAGGTCGGTCTCTCTTTTTCAACTCAACTTGAGCAGTGATTCAGCCTCTAGGAAATACGGGGTGCCGAGCGATCGTTCGTGGTGGTCTTCCTCAGCTTAACGCCCCTGCGGATGGCATTCAGCATGTCTTCGCCCTGCGGGGCCTCCGCTGGGTTCTGCCCACCTGTATGGAGCACAGTGGGCTGGCATGGAGGAGCGGTGATGCTGACGTCTTCTCTTTCGTTCTCCTCTCTCTCGTTTTCAGCCGCCGCCGGCCTCTGATCCTCTGTGCTGCTTGGCTTCTGACTGACGACGGGGGGAAGGCTGGCGGGTGCTTGCCCACTCCACGAGGAGGTACACACAGTGGGGGTGCTGCCCCCTCCAGCCTCGGGACTTTGCTCGGAGCTTTCTTCTGCCCCGCTCGGGAAACCAGGAAGCCCCACCGGCACGTCTGGCACAGACGGAGTCTTAACGGGAATCACGGGGGTCTTAATGGGAATCGGTCCCGCGCCAATGGTCCCACGCCTTACCGCTGGTTTGGTGGAAGGCGTCCGTCGGATGGTGGCCACACCCGGTGTGACGATCACAGGGCCAAGGGTGGTTGGGAGGCCCGCAGTGGAAGCCGGACGCTTGGCATGGAACATGCGACGGAAGGACTGGCTGATGTCGCTGTTCCTCGGAATAGTTGAAGACTTGTCGAATTCTTGCTGCTCGGTGTCTTGATCGCCACTCACAGAAAAGTAGTCGTAATCTGAAACTAGGAAGTCACAAAAGGGGGAGTCAGAACAGCAAATCTTCAGGAGTAACTTGGCAATCTCCAGTGAATGTTTTAAATCTACGCTTCCCTTTTTTTCTTGGATACGATGTTTACTAAAACTTTTTAAAAGGAAGATTAAAAACTGATATACAGTAAGAAGGATCAAAGGAAAAGAAATCAACGAAAGATTAAAAGTGCAAGAAAGGAATAAAGGAAAACATAATAAAGTAGATAAGAAATTCTGATTTTCATTACAGTAGTTGGAATTAACATTTATCTCTTAAAGTTA